GTCTTTCTAAAAATCGCCTTTCTAATACATTACAGGTTTTTTTCTTGCTATTCAGTCATAATTAAAAATATGTAAGGAACCGATTCTTTGTGGAGTTACCGTGATGAGGCGATGCAGGTGTTAAGTAATTCGTAATTTATTTTTCTTTTTTTTAATGTGCCTGCTTTGTATTGAGGAGCAAAGTGTAGGGGGTTTTAGAGTTTATTTAAGATTATTTTTCGCCAGAGTAAGGAGTTGGCAAACATCTCCGTTAAAGATGTAATTAAAGAAAATGTGTGTTTATATATTGTCTATCACCAAGTTAGAATTTTCCAGAGCTCTGTTTAGCGAATGAAGTATTTTTGACGTGCAGTTATTAGTGCAATGCCAGAAGGATGAAAACTAATTTGTAGGCAGCAAGGCCTCACAAACAGCAATTAAGTAATGATCAGATAATCTGTATTTGTGATGTTGATTGAGGGATAAATGTTACTCAGGACACCAGGGATAGCTTTTCTTCAAAATAATGCTTTGCGATGTTTTACGTTAGCTCAAGAGGTCAAAGAGATATTTGGTTTAACACCTTAATAAAAATAAACAAGATTGCCAAAATACGTTTTATTATAAATGTGCACTTTGGAAATTAGGAGAAAAAGTTGACCAGAAATTCTGGAAGACAATTGGTGCAGACAAGAAGTTGATGCAAATATAAAATTTTTAAAATATAATTCTTGTTCTCCATGGAGTTTTGCTGATTTTCTTAGCAGTATGCAACTTTTCACAAAGCATTTGAAATTGATGTTAAGGATTTAAGGATTTTAAAGACTGCTTCTGTTGGTCAACAGAAGCCAGAGCTGTTTCACAGTAAACAGTTAAAATAAAAAGAGTTGGATGTTGATTTTGAAATAGTAGTCATCTTATCCTATAAACTGAATTACACAATTTCATTTTGGAAGATGATTATATCAAGTGCCATATCCAACTATGTCTCAAACAGTATAGATATTTCTGAACCAATGAACAAGTAAGCCTGTTAAAAAGCTGATGTATCAAATAAACTGTTTCTTTTCAAGGCCAAGGAACTCCAATGCATTTTTGGCGAGGAGCTTATCCTGTAAGACAAATGAAACCAGTTCATGATAAATTTAAAGCTATCTCATTTATATGGATTTAACTATTTCCTCAGACCATATTTATTGGATGGTTGTGTTTTTCTGCCCTTCCATCTGAAGATTTGATGGGGAATGTATTCCCACCAATACTTGCTGACCATTTAATGTTTAGCATGGCAGTAACTAGGTAAGGATGAAACATTTGCCTCCATTTGGGAGGAAGTTGCATTTCAGAGAACTCTTGATCACTTGGATGGTTGGCAGTTTTGTAGCCCAGCAGCACCAAGTCGAAGCGGTGGCAACAGCTGGGACAACAGCCAGCCCCGACAAAGAGGAGGGAATGAAGGCCAGACTGACAGTAAGTCAGGGGCAACAGGGGCAAGTGGAATCTGGGCCTGGTGCCTTTACAGATACAGGAGACCCCCAAAAGAAGTACCTCCCTCCTTCTACAACAGCAACCCACACACAGCTAAAGTTGTCCGGCTACCCTTTTGGAATAGGCCTTGCCCCACCAAAATGTAGGTGAGGTGGTTTGAAGAATTTTGCTGTTACAGACCAAGTGAACAGGGTCGCTACTGAAACAAAAAAACAAAGATCTGCGGATGTGGATGCTTGAGTTTTAAACAAAGGTCGCTGCACCCAAAACATTGACTGTGCTTTCTATCTCCACAGATACCACCAGGCCTGCTGAGTTTCTCCAGCAATTTCTGTCTTTCTTTCAGGGTTGCTGCTGGCTTTGTCTTGAAAGGAAGTGGTTTGTCCAGACCAAAATCACTGCGATTAATCTACAGCCAATCCAAAGTTTAAAACGCCTATCATCTGCAGCAGTGCAAAGGTTGCAACAACAACTTTGTCTGAAACACTCCATATACTGAATCTTAAAATAAAGCTCCCAAAATTCTAACAAATGCAACCAGTATCCCTTTTTGAGTAGGGACCTGTTGACATTTTTTCTTTGGAGTTTATGAACTTTGATATTGGAATTGTATGAGTGAATTTTCAGTGTTTGCTTTTTTGTGTCAGTTATTTATTTATGGAAGTTTATGACTCATTATGAGGAAAGTTGGACAGCAGGTATTACATTTGGTGGGGTTGTCCAATGGAGATGGTCAGATTGTGAGTTGATTTACATCCAAACTTGAGGTGGGGAGAGGCAGAAGATATTTTCCCAAACCAAGGGGAACTGTATGTTAAATTTGATCAGTAATTTGAAAGCAAATGAATCCAATTAACATCTCAAGAATATTAATCATCCCAATAATTACATGTCTACCAGTGCTAATTAATATCCTGCCTGAGGAGAATAGATTACCCCTGTGTATCCAAATATGCCTCTATTAAAGATGGGAGTGATGTGTTGGATTGAGTGTGGTCCCAATCCAAAAATTAATTATGTTTACTACCTATCCTTTTCCAATTTACCCATTGTTGGGGTGAAATTTTCCTTTCATATTTGAGAACCAAAAGAGCAACATATGCAGCTGACCTAGATGTATATTGGAACATTGTTCGGGATTGAGAGTATAATTTTTATCAGGCTTCCTAAACTGAGTCAGCATCAAGGATGGAAAGTAGCAGTTGACTTTCCAAGTATTAATCCTGCTGTTTCTGCACTGTAGTTAATTTTCAGATAATGATATGTCAGTTGGCATAATCACTCTTTGAGTTAGGAGCTGGTAGACTAAAAGCCCATTCCAAATTTGGTCACATTCTAGACTGACATTTCAGTGCAGTACCAAATATTGCACAAATTGGAGCCAAGAGAGTGGAGAAATGTCAGAGTGGGATCTGTATATGTCAGGAGTGTATATCAAATCTAAGATGACAAAAGACGCATGTGGGATACAAAGAGCAGAATAAAGGCCCAGGAGTGTACAGACGGTGAGCAGGATGGAAGTTTGACAGGAGAACAGAGAATTATCATGGTGGCCAAAATTGGGTTTTCTTTTTCAATAATCCAATTGGCCTGCGATGCATTTATTGTTAATGTGGAGTGCTTATCATTAATGTAGACATGCTGTATTATAATATTATGCACACACAATGCTTTGAATAATGCAGATCTCAACATTAATCTCACTTTAAGTTCATCGCTGAATTCTTCAATTGATTCAATAAGGGTTCCTGGTTTCAGTTCTCCCAGTGGGAATGGATAATCTGTCCCCAGCATCACCTTGTCCTAAACACAAGAGACAGTTATTGGGATCATGTATAAAATTGTTTTTTTACAGATAAAGATTTTAGTACATAATTCAACAGAAGAAATGCTGTGGAAGCTGTAAATCTAAAGTTAAAAGAGAAGAGGCTGGAAATACACAGGCCAACCAAACACTTCCTTTCAGCCTGCAAGTGTGACTCTGAGATTCCAGTTGTCTGTTGTAGTGTTCAGTTAGTCTGTGTTCAACTAAGTGAGTCACCTTGAGATCATAGACATAATAGCGTTGTTTCTCATTTGATGTTAGCACGGAAGTATCTAATTTCAGGAACAAATTCTACTCTTAATCTTATCTCACTACTGTGATAGACTTATTCAGGTTTATGATGACTCATTGATTCTGGTTGGGGAATGATCGCACCTTCAGCATACATCACAAAGATATCATCTTAAACAGGTTCATATTCTATTTAGCCAAAAGCAGAGCTTTATGGGAGTAAACCTTAACTTGGTTTCAAACTTGAAGATGCCACTGGAGCAGACATTAAAATGATTAATAATACAGACAATATAAGACAGAATCTTCCTTATTTTCCAGATTTGGAGAGATTAATGGATTTTGTCAAGTTCCTCTTGTGGACACATCATTCCTACCAGGTTGACAAAAATTGAAATGGTTGCTGTTTCCAATCCATGCTTAATTGCCACCGGAGCTGAAGTAATTAGAAACAGACAATAAAACTGAGCAAATTAGTTCATCTTCATGGATATCCAGTTCATTCATTGCACAATGCAAAAATGGTGAACTTAGACTATACATTGACATTGAAATGGTCAGCAACGTTATTATTACAATTCTCCACTTACTATGATCCAAGACTTATGAATTATTGGTACCTCTAAGAGAGCAAAGCCGATACTTTTTGTTTTGTTACACGTGAAGGTGTGCTTCAACACTGCAGAGTGCTCTCTGAATGAATTTCAACAGCCAGAAGTTAATTTAATCAATCTTGCCAAATATTAAAGGACGCTCAGTCTACTTTATGACATTGTTGTCTCAGGGACAGTACACAGTTTTTGGTAATCGCTGGTACTCACTCACCTTGCAAAACTTTTTTATGTTCAACAAGGACTTACACATAATTATGGCACTCAAGATTGACTCTTAAGGGTATGAAGTAACAGCAGCCAGAGTAAAGTCTACATATGATAATATTAAAACTATTCATGTACTTCATCCTTTCATAAAAATGAAAGAATTGTTATTTTCCTTAATATTACAAATGTTTACCACAACCTATCTCTAAACACACAGGGATAATGGAGCCTATTTGAAAGTTACTGCCAAAGGATATATGGGAATGGACGATTGCACAGCAGACAGCATTTGAAATACTAAAGGCGAACATAACATCTGTGGCAGACCTTGTGCTTTTCAACCCACATGCAGAAACTTATGTCACAACTGATACAGCAGGAAATGCGATAGGAGCTGTCTTTTCCCAGAAGGTAGTGAATGCCATTGACAGAAACAGAAGGCAAATACTCTATTGGAGAACAGGAAGCATTAGCCTGCATCATTGGCGTGTATTCCTACAATAGAAAATTGACCTCTGCGTTGATTACTAAGTGCTGACTACATTGTTAGCCTGTATCTGATCATTGATTTCTGTGCAACCACAAATGGTCAGATCTTATTCAATAGTATAACTTGAGGTCAAATATCTCACACAACTCACAAACAAGTTGATCACATAGAACATCAACCCCAAATTCATAGTTCTGAATGCAGATGTAAGCTACTTTCATATCTCAACGTCAATTTCTGTACTTAGGAAAAACAGGCAAACTGAACTCTAAGGGCCAACATGACATGTGTTTTACTGTTTTGGAATGTTTAATTTAAAATAAGGTCTTTAGTTTGACAAAGGGAAAAGATTCAGTTGTTCAGTGTTTGCTTATGATCTGGTGATTGATCTATTCTCTTTGATTAGGTTATGACTGATCTAGCCTCAGTCTCTTGATTGGTTAAGCCTGGGTGTTGACATGGAGCTTCAATTAAATAGAGAAGCTGTTAGAAGCTAGAGCTGGGATAAACATGAGTGCAAACATTTTGTGATTGCATGGATATTTAAAAACTTTTATTTATAAACATGTTGCATGTTTAGAAAGTGGTGTTATATCTAAAATGTTCTGAAATATATAAAATGTACAACACTTGAAATTTAATTCATTGTCTTGTTCCCAATCTAACCTCTGTCCTTACCTTCCTGCGGTATTCCAATGAGGCTCAAGGCAAAGTAAGGAACAACACTTCATCTTTTCATTAGGCATTTTACAGTTTTCCAGAATAAACATTGTGTTCAACAATTTTAGATAATAACTTCTGTCCCTATTTTATTTACAATTTTCTCTTTTTACTTGGACAGAAGCTGTTCATGATTCTGCCTTTCATATCTCAGCTAGAAATGACCTTTTCTTTACTTGTGCTATAGCCATGCCCTTTTGCACAAATCACACCTGCCTTCATCCAGTCACAGACCTTTCTTTTGGTTCTTGACCCTTACCCTCACCTTAACTTACAATGGCTCCGTACTAAGTTAAAACCTGTTATGTCTGTATCCTTTTAATTAACGTAATTCATCTGAAATGTTAATTCTCCTCCTTTCCCTACTTATGAGATGTGCAGAGTACTTTCAACATTTTCTGTTTTTATTTGCACATTGTGAATTTTACTCAATGTACAGATTAACCTTCAGTTAGAGCAATGATCTGTGAACAAAAATGTGACAAAATATCCAAACTCACTTTCCCTATCACCTCCACCAATAGCTTTAGTGCAAGTGGATCATGTACTAACGAGTCTGTGTAAAAATGGTTCAGGTACTTTCGAGGGTTTGTCTTGTTGTCCATAGCACACAAATCAGGTCGGACGTTGAATCCATGTTCAATCCTACCAATGGTATAAGGGAAAGCACCACCTATAGAAAAAAAATGAAGGGAACTTTCTTGCTTTTTGCAGATTAACAAGTATGCATAGAAAAAAAAAACTTGTCGTTCACAGCATATTATTTTAGTTAACCGAAACAATTCTATTTTGACCTTGATGGCAAGATACTACGTAATGGTTAATTTTGTCACAACTCCTATAATTTGATATGGCAATAAATCTGCAAGTAGCTCCCAACTGGCTCATACAAACATAAAATTTCCACATTAAAGGTATTAGATTCATATAAAGAGTGTAACATATTGAAATAGATTGATTTTGGAAAGTTTAGTTAGTTTTAAAATTAGAAGGTTTGTGCTTCGATGTTCTACTTGTATAAACTGACTCAGACAAATGTAAGTACTTGGTACACTTCAGAAGACTGAAATATATGCAATAAACCTTCACAACCATCTTTCTTGCACTTTGGAACTTTATCTAACAGAAACCTAGTCTAGAACTTGATTTCTCAGTATTAACTATGATTGTTGCAGACTTCAATTTTGGGTGAAGTTAGTACAGCTTTTTGGAGTCTTTCTGTGGCCCCCTATAACTGCCAAAGTGATGTTTGTGAGATGTCTATCATCATTAAAATTGTATTTAGTTGCACCATTTGTTTTGCCATGTGTGCACATCCAAAAAGTTCAATATCTGTCAATGTAAGGTGGTTTTCATTTCACACTGATTTCAAAGCAAAGCCTTTTCAAGAAGTTCAAATCCATTGTAAGCAGATCTGTAGGTTTAGATTTGGTTTGTTTAATAGGGGGTCAATTTTAAAGGCTGTTTACAATACATACTGTTAATGTATCAAAGCCAGAAAGGCATTTTGTAGTAATACATTAATGTTGAAAGAAGTTATTTTGTGCTGTTGCACTACTTAAAAACTAATTTAATTTCTAACCCCCTATCGAATTGTCAAGAATCCACTCGCCAACAACAGAGGATTGATGAAAAGTAATACCTCAAATTATGTTGTAATTGAAGAGCAAGTAATTAACAATCAGCTGATAAAGGCTGAATTTTTGTATATTATTTCTAATATACTCTCTGTATATACTGTTTGCATTTTAGAAGTGCTGTGAAAAGCAAGCTCTGGGAATGAGAGAGAAACAACCGACATATCCAGTCTTATCATCAAAATTGCTGTTTGAGCAACAAATAAAAATGTCAATTCATTTCTCTGACAACACAATGTGGAGCTGGAGGAACACAGCAAGCCAGGCAGCATCAGAGGAGCAGGAAAGTTGATGCTTCCGGTCAGGACCCTTTATATCTCCGAGAAAAAGCTTATGGAATTGCAAGTTACACCCATCCTGCAAGATGTTTGATGACTTTCCACTTTAACCCCTGCGATGGGTTACAGACAGTTGCTTATTTAGAATGCAGATCTTTTCAAAAACTTGTTCATGGGATGTCGGCGTCATTGGCTAGGCCAGAATGAGGTGTCCATCCCTAATTGCCCACTGGCCAAGTTAAGAATCAAGTAGATGGCCATGCATCTGGAGTCACATCAAGTAAGGAAGGCAGATTTCCTTCCCTAAAAGACATTAGTGAACCAGATGGATTCTTACAACTGTCCACGATAGTTAAATGATTGCATTAGGCAAGCTTTTTATTTCAGATTTGAATTAAATCCAAATTTCACTATTTATCTCAATGGTAGCTGCTTCTGCCCAGGAGGCATGGTCACATGACTCCACAGTATTGAACTCAATTGCCTTTTTAATTATAAAATTCTGAAATAGCAGACATGTGAATGAATTAGTGTTTCTCCATAGCACATCTACTGACAAAATCTACACCCCAGCTCCAGCTACAATGTAAAGAACAGCCAGCAAAAGCCTTTCATCAAAACAGTGTAGTTGATGTCACAATTCAGAAAACGTTCCTCAGAAGACTTTTGAAGAAACTTTTAAAAGAGAAGAAACTCCCTACAACTCATCAATTTCTGGTAAACCAATAAACTCACCCTCACAAAGGAATTATAAAGTACAGGTAGTTCTGCTATAACACATTTTTTATTAACACGAATTGGCTGTAATGCGATTGATGAATAGGGGTCGCTGTTTGGATAATGCAAATTTTCTGCTGTACAGGTTTCGCGATTTTCGATAGTGATTTCCCTATAATGCGATTTTCTGTGGAGATTTTCTATGCATCGATTTTCTATAGTGCAAGGTCATGCAAGAATGCAACTATTGTGTAATAGGAGAATGACCTGCAACTCCAACCCAACATTTGGGCTCCATCTTAAAGCAAGGGCACTGGTCATCTGGTACCTGTTGGTTGTTTTACATTTAAATGGTTACTGATTGAAGAACCTATTTATCTGTTCAGATTCTATATCTCCGTGTATGCTTGTTAAGCGTGCTTGCGATGTCAGATTTTCCCTGTTGCAGAGAGTAAAATAAACTACTTCTGGTTTAACTTTACCATAGTGTGGTCCTTCAAAATTCAGAGCCTGCTATAAAAAAGGCAGGGGAAATATGCCCCAATTATTAAAACAAAAGAGAAAATCTTAAATGATCATCTGATTATGGACAGATGGTGAGAATAGGCAGAGTGATTTTGTTTCAAAACTGACAACACTGTCCTTGGGCCCTACCTACAAACACAGCATTAGTAGAAAGTTGTTCATTTTGAGGCAAGGCAAACTCTCAAAAATACCCTATTATCCTCACGTTTAAGGCAACGGGTCTGATCAAATTGACTGTTGCTGCATTATTTGAATTTGATTTTAACAACAGGTTAAAGAAAGTTTTAATAACCATTTCTTTGAGTGCGCTGTTGCTCCTGTAGACAGAGGAATTTATGTCTAGGGCTAGGTTAACTGGGTCTTTGAGGAGTGGAGTCTTGACCTCCATTCCCTTTGATTGTGGGTAGTTTATGTACGGACAGATATCTCTGTCCAAATGTTGGGTTCTTGCCAGCACAAACATTTATATTTTGGTGATGGAAGGATTTCCTATAATATAATATGGATTCTGGATTCGTCATCCAACTTAAAGTCTGTTCTTTTTCTTTGTTTAGTGTAGCCTGTCATTAGTTAGTTGATTTGCCTATGGTAGCTAGATAAATGTACAGTTTTATCTTGTCTTTACTTAATAAGCTTGAATATTACTCTTTAACTCAGTTTCCTAGTTTGCCTTATGGTTATATTTCTGTGAAGTTTGAACACTAAGCGAAACAACTTAAAGTGAGCCATAGTTTTGTGCCAGAATCAATGTTATTAGCCATAGTTATATTTAAACATTCCCTTGCCCTGAACAACTAATGTATAAGTTGAAATACTATCTTGTACATACGCAGCACTGTGCAATAAATCACTGAAGATAACAAACATACTTTATGCAATTAATTAGATAAAATTCATCACTCTTTCTTAAACCAGAATTTAATGACTTCTGTCTCACTCTGTTTCCCTAACTCTGCCTTTCCCACTCTCTGCCTGCCTTACTGTCGACTGGTTAGATCCTGACATGATGATGTACAAAATGTCATTAACCTGGAAATGAAGACACATTTCAGAGAAACAAATTTAATAAAGGAGCTTCAACATGGAATAATGTTAATTGGGTAACATAAAATGAGAATCACGTGTATACATGTTGGCAGTGTTGTGCAAGTAGCCAAATGAATTATGGATCTAATTCCATTCAGAAAAGGATATGTTACCTTGCAAGAAGACTACAATTGCATTGTTTAAGCCTTTTAAATGTGTTTGACTCTCATTCCACTCTTAAATATCCAACATGAGGTGATTTCTTGTGCACTGAATTATATGAACAATGGCTGAACAAAAAGGCCAACTACCAACATTCTTAGACCATCTACGGAATGGACAAGAAATAAAGCCTTACCAGCATTATCAACTATGTGAAAATAATTTTTAAAAATATAAAATATTGGAAGTAATTGAGAGTGAAATTGGCCACCAGTAGTAATGCAACATAGCCTTATGGCAGTTTGTTGATCAATTGACAGCAAGAGAAGATGAAATGGGCATGATGTATTTGGGCCGTTGATTTTCTATTGGCCTGATTTGCAATACAGAATTAATGGATTTCACAGAGACTGGCACATTTTTTGAGAAACTAAAATGTAATGCTCACCTCCATGGGCAAAACACACCTTCAATTTTGGAAATTTTTCAAATATGCCACCAAACAGCATGCAACACATTGCTGTGGTTGTTTCAGCAGGCATACCTAAAGAAGAATTAAATTAGTAAATAATTGCAAGTTGCTCAATCTTTAACATTGTATCAGACTTTGTGCCCCTTTCCTTTCAGGATAAATCATGTTTATGTGTTCAGGGAGGCTGAATTATATTGTATTTAAATTCAGGGAAAAAATTATTCTGAAATCAGTTTATCCATATTCATATCCTGAAAATCGAATACCTAACAAATACTGACTATTGTGGGGAATAACTTGTGTCTCCTGTAAGAAATAACAAAAATAGCATGAAAATAGTACAGAACTCTCACGGACTTAGTAGGCACAGTATTGATATTCTCTTGAAAAACATGACAATTCTCAGCAGTTTTGGAGCAAGTGAATTGAAAGATAAAGGTCACAAAAATTGTCCTCCCAGTATAGATGTCACTAGAACCTGTAGATGTTCTTGAGCAGATAATGGGGAGTCTTCTGGCACTTTGTGAGCCCCCAATCTCTGGCATAAGGTAAACAAAGCAAAGTGATTTTGGGCTAAAGTGATTGATAGGTGGAGGTGACCATTCTGACAAATTGGATAGCTGACCTGTATTTATTGGTTAGAAAGGTTCATACATATGATTGACATTGGGTAAATTAGCCATCCCTATAAATAAATTATAATGGTGGGTGCTTGGAGACAGGGAGCAGTCCCTCTTCAGATGGAAGATGGACCAGGGAAGGTGGAGGAAAATTGAAGGAAGAACTCCTTAACACTTCAGTTAGAGAGCTGAATGCTCTCATCCCAAACTAATCAGATGATCACACTTTATGTTAACGAACTGTTTGTCCTCGGGGATTAGTGAACTGTTCTGAAATGTCACAGGTTACATACATTTCTTGGCTATTGAGCTAATGCATAATTTCTAAACTGCCCCTTTATAAATGACCTTAAAATCATCTCAGTACATGACTGTCTATCTTCGGTATCTGTAGATTGCAAGCCTCAAATCTTACAGATTGTTGTCAGAAATAGTTGATGGATTGAAATTTGAGAGGCAACAATCTTAGGGTGTAATTATATGTGCATGAAGTAATTATTATATGAAACCAGAAGATACAATGCTGTTAGCATATGCTAAGGAATGACTGATAGTGTTATGATCCCAGCTGATGTTAATATTGGACAAGTCAGATCCCAGAAATGTGGTTTGATACCATATTTCATTTGCTTTTGGTATAAACAAGATGACCTCAGTGAAACATAAGATCATAATGTTTCAGAGAGATAGCAAGAACTGCAGATGCTGGAGTCCGAGATAACAAAGTGTGGAACTGGTGGAACACAGCAGGCTGGGCAGTATCAGAAGAACAGGAAAGCTGACATTTTGACATCCCGACCCGAAACATAGAACATAGAACATAGTACAGTACAGCGCAGTACAGGCCCTTCGGCTCATGATGTTGTGCCGACCTACTATCCTACTAAGGTCAATCTACCCTGCTTACCCTACATTTTACTATCCCCCATGTGCCTATCCAAGAGTCGCTTAAAAGTCTCTAAAGTATCTGACTCCACTACCACTGCCGGCAGCGCATTCCACACGCCCACCACTCTCTGTGTGAAGAACCTACCTCTGACATCTCCCCTATACCTTCCTCCAATCACCTTAAAATTATGCCCTCTCATAATAGTCATTTCCGCCCTGGGAAAAAGTCACTGACTATCCACTCTATCTATAACTCTCATAATCTTGTAAACCTCTATCAAGTCACCTCTCATCCTTCTTTGCTCCAATGAAAAAAGCCCTAGCTCCCTCAACCTTTCCTCATAAGACCTGCCCTCCAGTCCAGGCAGCATCCTGGTAAATCTCCTCTGCACCCTCTCTAAAGTTTCCACATCTTTCCTGTAATGAGAACTGAACACAATATTCCAAGTGTGGTGTAACCAGAGTTTTATAGAGCTGCAGCATAACCTCACGACTCTTAAACTCAATTCCCTTGGCAATGAAAGCCAACACACTATACGCCTTCATTACAACCCTATCAATTTGGGTCGCAACTTTGAGAGATCTATGGACTTGGTCCCCAAGATCCCTCTGTTCCTCCACTGTGCCGAGAATCCTGCTATTAACCGTGTATTCTGCATTCAAATTCGACCTTCCAAAATGAATCACTTCACACTTTCCTGGGTTGAATTCTATCTGCCACGTCAGCTTTCCTGTTCCTCTGATGCTGCCTAGCCTGCTGTGTTCCTCCAGCTCCACACCATGTTATCGTAATGTTTCAGATTTGGTTTTAACAATAAATAGTAAATTATAATGCAAAAGAAATGAAAATAAAGTAAGAGTACACTAAACTATTTATAACACAGGTTTAAAAATTTCAAAACATGCAGAGATAATGATCCCATTAATCTCAAAAGCACCCCCTTGCAGTAATTACATCAGAGCTAATTCCATTCTTCATCACTATTTGGCTTAATTTAACTGTGGCTTCAACTCTCAATCATAAGAATCTGATAGCCTCTTCCTGGTGCCTTCATACAACTGAGCTTAACTTTCTTAGCTTCAAATGTCCTTCAGCATTTTAATCAAGCAATTCTGGCCTGGAAAGTTCACCAAATTCCTCCCACTGAGGTAACCCATTTCTTACAGTTCTAACCTAGCTTCTTCCTTTTTCAGGAGCAACTGTTTTACACATCTAGCTTTAGCCACAACTCTTCCAGAACTCCGTAAACTGAAATTGAAACAATTCTTTTCTTTCCCAAGCAATGGGTACTTCCCCTCATCAAAAGAAAAACCTGACCTTCTAAACTGAAGCCTAATGCCCAACTGTTTACTTTGTTCACTTATAAAAGTCTCCTAATGTAAACAAAAATCCAAATATCACCTTGGCAACAGAAATACTTGCAGGTTGATCATTAAGCCCCTTCAGACATCAAAAAACCCATATTCCACTAGTTCAAATTCAAAAATCCAAACTAAAAAATAAACAATATTAAAACATATATAAATTACACTCTGTACCGTAGACAGTCTGACTCAGAAAACAGGCATGTCTGGAGTGAAAAATAACGCTGGGTGTTATAGAAGTGTGCAATTGAGATTACAAGTGTAATCTTGATAGGCTTTCTAAAGAGGTTCAGGAGATCAAGTTAACTTTTCACAAAATGTTAGCATTCAGTGCGTATGTTTGTTCCTTACAGACAGATTAAAACATACAAGTTTAAAAAAAAGTACAATAAGTTGCAAAAGGAAAATGATGGCTGGCAGGAGTTTTTTACTTTCCTACACAGTCAGTTACACTGGGAACAGGAAGCATATTATGGAGCTGTGGTCTATCTAGTGCCTTGTATAGGCTTAGCAAAACCTCTCTACTTTTATATTCCATTCCCTTTGAAATAAAACATTAAAGTTACTGAGGGAAAGCGTGCCTTAAAATGAATTGAATAAAGTCATAAAGCTGTAAAAAGACTCTCCAATAACAAGGTGTAGAGCTGGATGAACACAGCAGGCCAAGCAGCATCAGAGGAGCAGGAAGGCTGACTTTTCGGGCCTAGACCGAGAAGGGTCTAGGCCCAAAACAT